GAAGAAGAAGAAGAAGAAGAAGAAGAAGAAGAAGAAGAAGAAGAAGAGGGAAGGAAGGAAGGGAGAAAATTCTAGAAGCCTACAGTCAGAAATTATTAGATTTTCAGCCACAGTGTTTAGAATACAGATAATTCTAGAAGCTTAGACTGGTGAACCAGTAAAATCTGGCAGGTTTAATATCCCAGAATCCTACGATTACAGTCTTATGGACCAAGAAGGCTTGTCTCAGAGGCCTTTGAACTGTTGATGCTTAACTTTTTCTAAATCAAATGTTTACAGACAGCTAGAGCCATAAAACTCTTGTCTTGCTGGCCTAGAGTATTGGGTTTCTAGACTCTTTGAGTGTGAGATTTAATGCAGACAATCTTAAAATCATGGAGTTTATTTTTGAGATAGGGTTTCACATAGCCCAGGCTGACCTTGAACCTGCCATGTAGCCTACAATGGCCTTAAACACCTATTCTTTTTCCCTCCTCCTGAGTGCTGGGATGATGGGCTTTCAGAACCACGACACTAAAATCTTGGGCTTTTTGACAAAAGGAAATGCAAAATGCTGGAATCATGGCTCTACACAGTTTCCTAAGTTGAAGTTCTGGAATCCCAGAATGCACCTGCAACAAGGTGTAGACTCTTAGAATTCTAGAATCCTGATTCTGGGTGTTCTAGAGTCCTGGACCCCATGAGGCGAAAGAATCCTTTGTACATTGTCCTCAGACAAGGTCACATAGGTTCCAGTGTTCTCTTCAGGAATTTCCCAACATGCATCACTCCAATATGGACACCATCTTGGGCTTGAGGGGTGTTTTGATTTAGCCCCCAAGCTAAGAGGAGAAAAAGCAAGGCTGTAAAAGTGGAGGAGGAGTCAGGGAGGCTAGATGAGGAGCTAGCTTCCCCATCCCCAGGTTGTCAGAGAGGGAGAGACACAGAAATAACACCACATACTCCCCAAGCCCGGAGACCTTAGGAAGTCTCCAAGTGTCCACAGCATGAACTCAGACTAGAACAAGTTTTCTGGGGCTGCAGTCAGAGTGCCTGAGGTTAGATCTGAGTAAGAAATGCCTGGGCAATAAAGTATATTACAGGTGGGAGTGGCTTAAGGCCTCTTGGAAAACTTGAAAGCTTTCCAGATCCTACCCCTTCCATACACACATTGACAGCACTTAAAGCCACTCCCACAGAGGCCACCAGACCTGCTGGGAGTGGGGGTGGGGATGTTTTTGTGTGATAGGTGAGGTCCCAGTGCATCCACAAGGTTCCAATGGACCCAGGTCACCACTGAGACCTCAGGTGGGATGTGGAAGAAGATGACTGACTTTGGAAAGTAGGCTACAAAGAGCAGAGCCTCAGAGAGCGTGTGTGGGTGTGCAGAGGCACACAGAACCTTGGGTGACCTGAGTTCCCCATCCCCAGCCTGATCTCTGAAGTCTATCCTCACAGGTACCTGTGGGTCCGCCTCGGGGAGCATCACCTGTGGCGGTGGGAGGGCCCCGAGAAGCTGTTTCTGGCCACAGACTTCTTCCCCCATCCCGGGTTCAATTCGGATCTCTCTGCCAATGACCACAATGATGATATTATGCTGATCCGGCTACCTAAGAAGGTCCAGTTGAATGCAGCTGTGCAGCCGCTCAACCTCAGCCAGAGCCTGCCGGCCGTGGGCTCCCAATGCCTTATCTCTGGCTGGGGCAGTGTGTCCAGCTCCAAATGTATGGACTTGCCCTTAACCCTTGCTCATCTCGTACCATTTCCCCTCTCTTCTTGTTCTCTTCCTCCTCCCTTCTTCCTCCATCATCCTTCTTTCTCCTCCCCCTCTTCCCTGCTTCCTCCTCTTTCTCCTTTTCTCCCCTTCCTCCTCCTCCTCTCCTCCCTAGGATGTGTTAGCTCCCAGCCTAGCTCCAGGTTCAGCGAGAGACCTTGGTCAAGGAATTATTGAGCAGAGTGCCAGAGCAGGAGACCCAGTGGCCTCCTCTGGCTTCTCTATACAGACACCCGCCAAGCACACATGTTGCGTTCCACATACATACACAGAATATTCAGGACAGGTGTGGTGGTGCCTGTCTTTTAATCCCCACACTTGGAAGGCAGAGGCAGACAGATCTCTAGGAACCTAAAGCTAGCCTGGTCAATATAGTAAGTTCTAGGTCAGCCAAGGCTCTGTAGTGAGATTCTCTCTTTCTCTCTGTGTGTAAGAATGGGCAAAATGATACTTACACTCTCAAAATAATACCCAGTTGGCAGGATCAGCAACACAGGCTACTCCTCAGAGTAGTAATAGAGGCTACACCCGAGGGCTATGTATCCACAGACACCATGTACCCACACTGTGTTATCCAGTTCCTGTTAACATTTCTGGACCCTTTTCTCTGCATGTCTGTCTTGCCATTTGCCTCTGACAGTGGTTTTTCCCACAGAGACGTCTATTCTCTTCCTGGTCTCTATGAGTTACACACACACACACACACACACACACACACACACACCCCTTCCTGTTTCTCTTCCTTTCCTTTGGCCTTCTGTACAGAAGGTCCTGGGGGTGCTGCCTAGGATTCTGGGGACATCCTCCATCCTCTGCCTTCTTCCCCCACAGTACAGTACCCGATGACGCTGCAGTGTGCCAACATCAGCATTCTGGACAACAAGCTCTGTCACTGGGCATACCCAGGCCACATCAACGAGAAGATGCTGTGTGCTGGCCTGTGGGAGGGTGGCCGGGGCTCCTGCCAGGTGAGGCATCCTGCGGTTTTCTAGACCTTAGGGCAGGAGACGGCTGGAGCCACAGACTCCAGGACCTAGGGATGCTACCTGGTGGGATGGAGGGTGAGGTCTCTGAGCTTTTATTCCTGGTTCTGAGGGAGGAGAGACTGCAGACCAGGCCTCCTGGGGGCTGAACGGCAGGACACAGGAGGGTTTCTCAGAAGGAGGAAGCGTCAATTCTCCTGAACAGACCCGGCTAACAGCTCTGCTCTTCACCACCACAGGGTGACTCCGGGGGGCCCCTGGTGTGCAACAGAACCCTGGCAGGGATAGTGTCTGGGGGATCCGAGCCTTGTTCCAGACCCCAGAGACCGGCTGTCTACACCAGCGTATCCCACTACGTGGACTGGGTTGAAAGAACCATGGAAGAAAACTGAGTCCACACTAAGGACAGACTGGAGAGGAAGATGCTGCAGAACGAGAAAATACTGCAGGGCTCCACAGCCCTGGCTTCCTTCGTCCTGAGACCTCCAGCCTCTGTGTCTCAGTCTTGGACGATGAAACTTCGCCCCCTCAGGCTCTGCCCCTCAGACTTCACTCCTGAGGCTCTGCCTCAAGACTCTACCCACTTAGGTCATCTACCCAATTGCGTTCTGCTCCCAGGCAAATTCATTATAATAAGACCACGCCCCCTCAGACCCAACTCAGACACTCCTTAGCTCCTGGCATGATTTTAATCACCATCCTCTGGTGTAGCCCAACCCTCAGGATCACCGCCAAGAAAATATCTTTCTCGAAACAGCTGCATCCCTCCAAATTTCATCCAATGGGATTTCTTCCCTGTACTCCATCCCGTTTGTCCCCACTCCTAGTTATCTCAGAGCAGCGTTTCCAGCGCCCATGTGGACTTCCGGCAGTTCTGGGTTCTGCCTCGGCTGTGTCGTGGCTTTGACTCTCTTGAGAGAGGACGATGGGGGCACTGACCTGTCCAGAAGCACTGGATGAATCAGAATAAACCATAGGAGCGGTGACTTCCTGTCGTCTGTGGTGTGGGATGAAGGGTGCGCACGGGAGGGAAGGAAAGGGTGAATGAAGGAATGGGCACCGGCCGAATTTATTGCAGCACCTTGGGACTTAAGCCAGGGCTGGTCCCGCCGCCCTGGGGCGAGGGGGAAAACAGGTCATAGCGCCACCCGAACCTGCCTACCCAGATGCCCCGGGCCGGCTGCTGATCCACCCTCAAAGTCCCCAACCAGAACACACGCCTTCCTCACTTTCCACAAAACCCAGTTCCAAGCCCATCCTTCACGGCGAACAGAGAACCGCTCCCCAAGACCCTGGGGAACATCCCAGCCCTCCTCCTTCAGATTCAGCCTCCACCCGCAGACTCAGGGCCCCCGATCTTAACCCTCCTCCCACAGATCCAGATTCAGATGAGGCATTCAAACCCCAACTCACTTCCCTCGGACTCAGGGACTCAGGCTTCCACTTTCTTCCCTCAGACTTGGGTCCAGGCTCTGGTTCTCCTCTCAGACCAAAATATCCCAATCCCTCCTCGCCCAGGCCCAGGGGCTCCGACTGCAGCTGCCTCCCTCCGAGGCGGATCGTGCCTTGCCCCTCGAGTCCTCGCCTGGCTTCCGGGACTCCAGCTCCTCCTCCTAAAGCCTCTTCAGCTCCCGCCCCTCCTCGAGCGTTTGCGGGTTCAGCCGCACGGCGGAGAGGTGCGGGCAGAAGGCGGAGCCGTGGGCGGGGCTTCCTAGTTATAAGGCTGCAAAATCGTGTATCCGACACACGAAGGGAAGTCTGGGGGCCTCTTCCACCGAGTGCGAGTGACCCCGCCCCCTGCATTCTGGAAGGTGAGGCGCTGAGGTCCCCAGACACTGACCTCAGACGTAGGGACCTCCCCCTCCCCTGAGCCCAGGATCCCCAGCCTCACATCCTTTTCCTCAGGATCTTCAAGTGGGTCTCCTAGCACCGTCCTCCCGAGGACACAACCTCAGATCTTTCTCGCCACGAGAAGGCCCGAGCTCCTTCCTTTAGAATGTTGGTGTCTCCGCCAGCAAGCTACTCCGCACACCAAAGTTCCGGAATCTGGAGCTCTGTCCCAGCTTCCTCAGACCCCAACTCCATCCAGCAAGACCCAGGGCGGCTGCGGAAACACCTCCTTCCCCTAGTTCCCAAACCTACGAGATCTCAGGCTCCTCCCTCGGACGTCCTCTCAGTTCCACCCTCTTCCTCAGAGGCCATCATGGGACGCCCCCCACCCAGTGCAACCCAGATGTGGATCCTTCTGTTTCTGCTAATGGGAGCGTGGGCAGGTGAGGGGGATAGGCGGCTGCACCCAGGGCCTTCAGTGGGGTGGGGGTGACTGGAGGTGAGCTCCTGCTGATCTGTGGGTGCATGTTGTGGTCTTGTGGACCGGGGAGCTTTCTTGGGAGTGGGTAGAGATAGCAACACATGGTGGGGGCGTGGGTTGAGTTTCCTGTGGGTGCATGGCTGCCCGTCAGACGAGGGATGGAATTAGAGTATGGGGATGTGTAAGAACCCACCTAGATGTGTGCGGGAGCACGGTGGGGTCTGTGCCTAGTGCTGATTATTAACAGGTTTCAGTGAGCTCACATGCGTGGCCATGTGGCCACGTTCCAATGGATGCCAGGACTTCACCTGCTGAAGTCCTAAGAGATGGCGCGCAGACGAACTGGCCTGCGTGTCCGTTTGAACCCACAGTGGCTTTCCCGGCCGGGGCTCTGGCACCGAGGATCGTGACCCACCCTTCTCCCTCCTGATGCAGGACTCACCAGCGCTCAGGGCTCCAAGGTCCTGGGGGGTCAGGAGTGCAAACCGCACTCCCAGCCTTGGCAGGCAGCCTTGTTCCAGGGCGAGAGACTGATCTGCGGGGGTGTCCTGGTGGGAGACAGATGGGTCCTCACTGCGGCCCACTGCAAAAAACCGTGAGTGGAGGGCTGCACAGATGGGTGGAACTGGAGGGAAGAAGGTGAGGGCTCTGTTTGAGGACGAGGAAGCCCTGGGTCTGACGGGGGAGGGCTGGGCGGGGGTGACTGGGTCTGAGGCAGGCCCCAACTCCTGGGCTTGGTGGAAGATGATCGGTTCCGAGGGAGAAGGGTTGGAGAGAACCCCCATGTAGCTCCAACTCCTGCCTGGGTTCCAGCCTCAACACAGCCCCCACTCTTCCTCGTGCAGAAAGTACTCGGTGCGCCTGGGCGATCATAGCCTGCACAGTAGAGACGAGCCGGAACAGGAGATGCAGGTGGCTCGGTCTATCCAGCACCCTTGCTTCAACAGTAGCAACCCAGAGGATCACAGTCACGACGTAATGCTCATTCGAATGCAGAACTCAGCCGACCTCGGGGACAAAGTGAAGCCCATTAGACTTCCCAATCAGTGTTCCAAAGCTGGCCAGAAGTGTACCATATCAGGCTGGGGCACTGTCACCAGCCCTCGAGGTAAAGGGCTGGGCCCCCACTAACAGGGTGAAGAGAAGGCAGTCAGTCCAGTGGACCCAAGCCACTGCAGATCCCACCCCCGACATACACTGACTTACACCCTAAGAGAAGATAATGAAAGAGGAAAGTGACCACGACATTGAGTTTTAGGAGGGGGAAATGCTTGGGGAAGGGTTCTGTAAGTAAATGGCTTGCTTAGCAAGTGTGAGGGCCTTGCGTTCAGATTCCTAGCATACGCGTTAAAGCCAAGAGGGGCAGCATGCATCAGTAACCCCATTGCCGGGAGGTGGAGATGAGCAGAGGTGCTCGCCCCAGCACCCATGCAAAGGTCAGAGGACTGTCTGCTTCCTTCCACCCTTTGGGTCCCGGGGGGGGGGGAGGTCACAGTGTGCCTCTTGGCAGCAAGACCTTCACCTGAGGAGCCCTGGTATGCACTTGTGACCACAGCTCTGTGGGTTCCTGGGTCTTTCCAGCCAGATGGCTAGCTGAATGGACAGGACACACACACACACACACACACACACACACACACACACACAGACACTCCATTCAAGGTTAGAAACCTTGAATGCTAGATAATAAATGGAAAGAGATTAAACAGGTTGTTAATGTTAAGCAGAATTCAAAGAGTGGGGGAAAACCTTTCCTTTATTTTATATGCACTTCTATTGTATAGAGCTTTATGTGAACCTCCTAACAGACTTGGGCACAAGCTCCAACCTGAGCTGTCCTTCTTCTCATGCCCTTGGGCTCCAGAATCTTCTTCATCACAGCCTCGACGATCCAAGGGGGCCCAAACCTCCCTCTTACTCATGAGCCAAACATCAGTCTGTTCGGGATTTTGGTCTATTTGGAATGTTTCGCAGCTTATAACTTCACGGTGGTAACAAGTGGGACTCGGCTCAGGGAAACAATGGGGCCCTCCAGGGATTGGCCACGCCAGCAATCAGGTCCCTACACGTCTGACTTCTACTGAGACAGTGTGGCTTGGAAACGCACACTGAGGAAATGGGTGGATCTTTCCCTCAGCTCTGGGGAGCCACATCCCATCCCCCAGCCTTGCTTTCCTCAGTCATGTCCAAGAAGTCAGCATCCAATGGGCAATAACTTCATGAGGGTTCTGTTTTCTTTAGTTTTTTTTTTTTATGTTTTGTTTATTGTTTGTGTGTGTACAGCGCACAGGTGGAGGCTGGGGGAAATCTGTGGAAATTAGTTCTCTCTTTCCATCTTGATATCCCAAGGCTCAAAGTCAGGCTTTCTTTCTGGGACTCACCTGTTTCCGTCTTTTAGACTTGTTTTTCCTTTCTGTGTTTGAGTACACGGATGTCTGTGTGGCCCGTGCGCGTCGTGCTTGCATGGGTCAGAAGAAATCCTGGAACTGGAGTTATAGATGGTTTTAAATCACCATGGGATTTCTGGGAACAGAACCTGGGCGCTTTTAGCCACTAAGCACCTCTCTAGACCCCAATCTGACTCTCTAGTGTGTAGCCTTGGCTGTCCTGGAACTATGCAGACAAGGCTGGCTTTGAACCCCCAGAGATTCACCTGCCGCTGCTTCCCAAGTGCGGGGCTTAGAGGTGTTTGCCTCCACTCCTGACCCCATCTGTCATCTTGATGATGTGTTCTTGGTGCTTGGAAGTTACCTGGAATCCTAGAAATGCTTTGTAAATTTTCCTGCATGGATGAATGAGTGATAAAATGAATGAATGCACCCTGACCTCTTCAAAGAGCTTTTGTGAGGGTCCATGAGATTGTGAGCAGACAGATTCTGGATCTTTCCGTCTTCTCCTTAAAGGGGATTGATAGCAAAGCTAACTCTAATTTCAGTCATTAATCCTTTGTCAGTATTAGAGATTGAGTGGAGGGCCTTGCATTGTCAGGCAGATGCTCTACCACTGAACCACACCCCTGGGCCCTCTCTGGGGATTCTATGCAGGGATTCTACGTCTGAGCCACGCCCACAGTCAGTCATTAATGTGTATTAAACACGCAGGATGCCCACCACACTGTGTTCAACACGAGCACAACCATAAACTCATAAGCAAATGTGAAGTCTTTCCTATGATGCTCACGGGAGTCGGGGAAAATAGACAATCAACAGATGCATGTAACAAAGCATCAGGTAGAGGCAAGCAGAAAGCAGTGAAGAATAAAAGGCTACAAAATCCTGTGAGCTAGCACAGACTATCATCCCAGGTACTCAGAAGGCTGAGACAGGAGGATCTCAAGGTCAAGGTCAGTCTAAGCAGTTTAATGAGAGTCATGCCTCAAAACACAAAGTATAATGTAACACCTCAACATTTGGATGGTGGAGGTAGGAGGATCAGGAGTTCAAGCTCACTCAGCGGCACAGAGTTGGAAACCAACCTTGGCTACATGAGACCACCTCAAAAGACAAAAATAATGAAAAAGAGGGTTGGGAATGCAGCTCAGTTACACAGTGCCTGTCTAGTATGTATGAAGGCTTGAATTCAATCTCAATCTCTGTCTCCCTCTCTCTCTCTGCCTCCTCCCACAGGTGTGGACAGGTAGATGTACTTTAATAGAGTGGTCAGGAAGGGCTTTTAGGAGGAGATTATATTTGGGAAAAGGAGAACATAGATGAAATTATGAACCTGGTGGCCTAGTGACAAGAAAGCTGGGAGGAGGGCAGGGGCATGTTGCAGAGAAGTATTCCAAAATCTCCCCCCACCCCATCATCTGTCCCTAGATTTAAAGTTAGCTAAAGACAACAAAAGAAAGATAAGACTTGAAGGCTCTTGCCTAGACAGAGAAAGATGCGCTGGTGTGTGAAGTCATGGGCCCCGTGAAATGTCGAGTCAACAGACAGAAGGAAGGTTCGGTACCGATGGGATGGAGAGAAGATGTTCCTGTCTCTTCCTGATTCTCTCTCCTCAGAGAACTTTCCAGACACCCTCAACTGTGCGCAAGTGAAAATCTTTTCCCAGAACCAGTGTGAGAGGGCCTACCCGGGGAAAATCAATGATGTCATGATCTGTGCCGGCAGCAGCAATGGGGCTGACACTTGCCAGGTGAGTGACCTCTGAAATCGCCTCTCGTGGTGTGCGGTGGATGAGGATGACCCCAAAGATTTAGTAGGTAGAGAAGTTGTGCCATCCTGGCAGAGTTCAGAGAAAGCTAGCTACTCCCAGAAGATCACACAGCAGGGCTGGGGAGCTCAGGAGCCTTGCTGGTCACTTTCTTGTCAGTCTTTGTCTACAAAATAAGCTGTGGGAAGGTGACCGAGGGTTTGGAGGACAATCTGAAGCTAAGGATTAGGCAATGCTTTACTCCCCACGGTGACTCTTTGAACTGGTGTGGTTTCTGCTACTGGGTTCCCAATGAAGGCTTCCTTCTGTCATTGCATCCTTGGGGACCAACATTGCCTTCTCAGTGACTGCCCATCCTGCCCTCATGGGACTTTTTTCACAGTTGTAATATTCTCTTTCCTGTCAACTTCAATGCATCTGTGTCCTTAGGACCTCCCCTGGCTTTGACCCCTGGCTCCACTCCAATCACTAATGATTTAGACCCCAAAGGCAGATCTTCTTCATTGGCCAAGGATGTTGTCATTCCCATCACTGACAGGCAAGCCTTCCTTAGAGACCACAATATGTTCTGCATGGATTCCGGCTATTGCCTCGTAGGGGCTGGCTCTGTGCTTGAGTGAGCTATCTTTCAGCCTGTCTCTACAAGGATCCTGTTATTTCTTCTGTGCTCCCCAACTGGAGTCTTCAGCTGAGTCCCATCTTTGAAAGCCTGGTGTCTTCTCTATGAATTACACGTTGGACATTTCACTCTTTCCCTCATTGGTTGGAAATTTACCTGTTACCCTTTGACCTTTGTCTTCATTGGAAACTCTTTCTTCCTCTGAGTCTTATTCCCATTTACTATAAGAAACCAACCACTCCACCGTGTGGAAGACTTGGTTAAAGGACCAGGGCATGTGGCAGAATTGGTAGAGTGCTTGCCTACCACACAAAAATCCCTGGGCTCCACTGACAGCACTTCAGAAACTGGGTGTGGTGGTGCATGCCTGACATCCTTGTACTTGGGAGGCAGAGGCAGGAGAATCAGAAATTTGAGGTTGACCTCTGCTACATAGTGGGTTTGAGACACCTGGCCTACAGGAGACAAGGTCTCAACAATTAAATGCCGAGGGGTTCAATGCAAAGGTACTCGATACTCAAGCCCTTCAACCTGAGTTTGATCCCCAGGACCCTCACAAAGAAAAGAACTGACTCTTGCATGCTTTCCTCTGATCTTCACCTACCATACAAGATAGTAAAATGTAATCCAAAGCTTTAAATGCCGAGTGCAGAAGGGAGAGAGATGTGGGCATTTTAAAGCAAACACCACTCTGCTCCTATTTAGGGTGACTCAGGAGGTCCTCTGGTGTGCAACGGAATGCTCCAAGGCATCACATCCTGGGGCTCAGACCCCTGTGGGAAACCGGAGAAACCGGGTGTCTACACCAACATCTGCCGCTACACTGACTGGATCAAGAAGACCATGGACAACAGGAACTGATCCTGCTGGCGGGGGTGTCAATAAATACCACCTTTGGCTGACTCTTTGTGTTTTGGACTGTGTTGAGGGAGAAGGGATAGAGGAGGAGAAAGAATTACACCCTGCTAACAGACTTGGTGGGAGGCATGAAGGGACCCATGGCTTCTGTGTCCATCACATTGACTATACAAGGACTTGAAAGACCTTGTCTCTCAGGCACGTGTCTGTCATCCTAGCATTCAGGGGGTAGAGGTTGGAGGATCGAGGGTTTAGGGCCAGCCTTAAGTGACATCGTGAGTTCAGGGCCAGCCTGGGCTATGTGAGACCTTGCTTTAAAAAGGAGGAGGGAAAAGAGGAGAAAATCAACCTTGGTTAGTGGGGGGTTTGTTTCAAAGGATCAAAATTTAATAATTTCCAAACATCCAGGATTCTGGTCTATGAAAAAAAAGTGCTTTTTGTTTTCCTTCCCCTCCTTGTTTTATTTGCTTGTTGTTCTTTTTGGGTTTTGGTTTTTGGTTTTTCCAGACAGGGTTTCTCTGTGTAGCCCTGGCTGTCCTGGACTCACTTTGTAGACCAGGCTGGCCTTGAACACACAGAGATCTATCTGCCTCTGGCTCCTATGCGCCACCATGCTCAGCCCCCACTTCTTTCCACAGAGGACCTCCTGTGAGACAGGGTTTCATTATGTAGGGCAGCCTGGCCTCAAAACCATGATTCTGATGCCCCAGCCTCCTGAGCATTGGAATGAGAGGAGAACACCATCACACTTAGAGTCTCCACTACGTTTTTTCTGCTCTAAAACTTGGTGTTGGGGTTGATCTTTGCCCATGCCAGGAGAGTGCTTTACCCCAAAATCATGTCCCTGGGCCCTTACTAGGGGATTCTACGTAAAATCTTTACCACTGAGCCATGCACCCAGTCCCTCACTGGTGGGTTTTAGGTAACTCTACTGCTGAAATGCATCCACAGCCCTTTTAATTAAAAAACAAAACAAAACAAACCTTACTCTCACTGTGTGTGGTGTGTGTGCGTAAGGCATTCATGTGAAGGTCAGAGGACCACGTCATGAAGCTGTTTTTCTCCTTCTCCCTTTACACAGGTTCCAGGAATCCAACAGGAGGCTTGTGCGGCAAACACCTCGATCTGCTGAGCCATTTCGTACTTTTTCTTCTTCTAACAGTCCTCACTAGGTTTTCCAGGCTCATTGGGACCTTGAACACACTCTGTAGCCACCACAGGCTTTGCGCTTACAATCCTGCTGCTTCAGCCTCCCCACACCTGAGGTGGCCGGTCTTCGCCACCAGGACTGGCTATGTTTTGCATTCATTCGTTTGCAGAGAGGGTCTCACCTAGCCTAGGTCAGTTTCAAGCTTGAGCTTGATATGTAGCGAAGCATGCCTGGCCTGGAATGCCTGATCTTTCTGTTTCCATCTCCCAAGCGATAGGATGGCAGGTGTGTGCCAACATGTCCGGCTACAAACGTCAGGTTTAATATGACATTTTAATACGATTTTAAAATAATTTTTATGTGTATGGGTGTTTCGCCTGTGTGTGTATGTATGTATTTCATATATACAGTGGCCATGGCGGTCAGAAAAGGGCATTAGATTCCTGGAGCTGGAGTTGCAGATGGTTGTAAGCTGCCGTGCCGGTGCTGGGATCCAGACTTGGGTCCTCTGAGGGAGCAGCGCACTGCTCTTACCCACTGAGACATCTCTCCAGCCTCTTAATATAATATTTTAATATGAAACCTTAGATTCATTCTTTGAGTATTCATGGATACACAATAGTAGCATGAATGTTATGGAGTAACTGATGGGTTTATAGTTGAATTTAAGGCCTACCCCATGGGAGGAAGTGTGTGCCTAGAACTGTGAATCTGGCCAAGAACTCACAAATTACTAAAAAATAATATTCAGCATTAAAAAAATTATTTATTTATTTATTTATTTATTTATTTATTTCTCTCTTTGTGTGACACATGCATGAAGCTATTTGAGAAGGCTAGAAGAGGGCACCAGATTCCCTGGAGCTGGAGTCACACGGATGGTTGTGAGCACCATGTAGTTTCTGAGAACAGACCCTACCTACACCCTCCGCAAAAGCATCACATTCTCTCTCTTTCTCCTCTCTCTCTGTGCATGTGTGTGTGCCACTCTCCCTCCTCCCCACCCTGGGTGCCTCTCTAGGTGTGTTTTTTTCTCTTTCTGCCTCTCTTTCTCTTCAAATGTCTGAGTATTTGTCTGCATATATGTCTGTGCCTAAGGAAAGAGAGCATCAGACCCTCTGGAATTAAAAGTGGTTGTGGTGAGCTGCCATGGGGTGCTGGGAGTTGAACTCAGGTCCTCTTGAAGAGCGTTAAGTGCTGTGAATCGCCGAGCTATCTTTCCAGCCCCAATAATTCATAAATTTTGTTTTTTTAATAAAAGAGAACTCACCTTTTCTGCTTCAGCCACATCATAGATTACTACATGGCTGATAGTTTCACTGAACTTTAAGAGGCCATCCCTAGCCAGCCAGCAGCTGTTTGGTGTCATGTGGTATGAAACATGGCTGCCTGGGCTGTTTGAGGACCATTCTCCTCCTCAGCGTGTGTGGGTGTGCCAAACACTTTGCACAATTAGATTCCAGCTCTGGTCCAGCTTGAAGGGGACCCGCCCCAGGACCCATCACTGTTTTTGGCTTCAGTCCCTCCTAGTGTGGAGGTGGGAGTAGAGGGCTCTGAGGATGTTCTCATTAGCTGTAGGAGAGGAGGGAGGCGGCTGTTGCTCTAAAATGAAGGCGAATGAGAATGAGGAGATCAGGAACAATAAGCCGTCAGAAGCTGTGGGTGAGTCCAGAGTTGCGGAGTCAGTGTGTGCAGGGTTCCTCTGGGCAGGGCAGGGCTGAAAGGGTGGCTGGCTCCCTGATCTTGATGTGATCATGAGCTGCCATAGGGGTCACCAGCAAAGGCTCAGGACGGAGATCAGAGGACAAGGAAAGACATAAGGCTGCATGTCTCGATGAGACCTCAGTGAAAAGGGTTGGGACTAACTCCAAACCCAAATACATTTTTTGTTTGTTGGTTTTTCGAGACAGGGTTTCTCTGTGTAGCCCTGGCTGTTCTAGAACTCTCTCTGTAGACCAGGCTGGCCTGCAACTCAGAGATCCACCTGCCTCTGCCTCCTGTGTGCTGGAATTAACGGTGTGTGCAAAGATACATATCTTAATAGGACCAACAGCTCTCTCTCTCTCTCTCTCTCTCTCTCTCTCTCTCTGTGTGTAGGTCACAGGTCAACCTCAGTTATTCTTCCTCAGGCACAGCTCACCTTCGATCTATTACTGACCCAGGGCTAAGTAGGCTAGGCTGGCCAACAAGAAACCCCCCACAGATCCATCTGTCTCTACCTCCCCAGCACTGGGTTCCGATTTTCATGTTCCCAAGGCAATCATTTTTCTAAGCCAGCTCCTCAGTTCCAAAATTCCTCCTTATGTATGTAGCTACTTATTTTCTTATCTGTGAAATGAGGGTGACAATTTGATGGGCTGGAGAGACAAGTCAGTGGTCAGGAGCATTTGCTACTCTTCCAGGGGATCAGAGTTCAGTTCCCGGCAACCAGGCCAAGCGGCGCACAAGTACCTGTAACCCCAGCTACAGGGGCTCTGACTCCTTCTGCCCTCCACAGGTACTGTCCTCAGGTACACATACACTCATGTAGACAGACACACATAGAAATAAAATTTAAAACAAACAAACAACAACAGCAAATAGCTACCATGTCTGAGAAGCACCTTCCTTCACTGCCTGTTGGGCACAATATCTCCTCTGTTGTCATGTTTCTCACGCACAACTTTAGGTAACCCTTCCTCTGTGCTTTGCTCTCTCCCACTTTAGAGGACGGCACAGTGAGACTCACAAGAATGAAGTCACTGTCCTGAAGTCACAGGCTGAGCAACTCTGTGTTGGACTGACCTGTGAGGCCACGTTCTTTTCTGTCACACCCTGAGGCAGAATGCCTCAGCAGAACTGAGTGTGAAGGAGGTAGCTCTGTGGGTGCCAGCTGTTTTGCAAAATGCTATTTATTTAAGGACTTCCAGCTGATGTGGGCTTGCCGCTAAAGAAAACAACAGTGAACACCACACACGTTTCACCTGCCCTAGGGACCGGTGCTTGCTCACGAAACCAGCCTTACTAACGAAAACTGTAACCGAGTGCTGGACATGCACATCTGGACAGTAACATCTAGGGATTTCAACGTAAAAAAAAGGTTATTTCAAAAACCAGTTTATTTATTTGTTTGTTTGTTTGTTTATTTATTTATTTATTTATTTATTTATTTATTTATTTTTTTCTTACTACCCCGATTTGCAGCAGGGTCTCAGGTAGACCAAATAGACTCAAACTACCAAGGTTGACCTTGAACTCTCCATCTTCCTGCTTCCTACCTCCCCCGTTGCTAGGACTGCAGGCATAAATCACCACGCCTGGTTTATGCAGTGCTTCCAGGACTCCACCGTTGCTTGATTTGGGAGCCCAAGTCAGGAAGACTTGCAGAGGCCAGAGTCGCATGGCAGGGCCTGCATTCTGGGGTCTGACTTGGGGCTTGATGGGAGAAAGTGTCTTGAGCCTGAGTAACTTTGAATATAGTTATCATGGAGTTCTTGTCAGGACAAGGCTGCTTGGCAGAAATTACCTTAGAGCTGGTTTGAAAAGAAGGATCAGAATTGTGTCTGGAAGTCATGGTCAGTGGAGCAGGTGTTCATTCCTGCCACTGGGAAATCAGAGGCTGTGGCCTGGAGGATCAGACATTCAGCTATAGAGCAAGTTCAAATTCAGCCTAGGGGAGCAGAGTGAGACACTGTATCAAAATAAAAAGTAAAAAGATATCTCAAAATGTAGCCCAACAGTAGAGCCCCTGCCTAGAATACCCCAGTAAGGGGCTGGGTGTGGCTCAGTGGTAGGGCTCCTGCTTAGACTCCCTGAGATGAGTGGCTGGGAACATGGCTGTCAGTGGCCTGCTCCAGTTGCAATGGCTGCTACCCATCATTGTGGATGCCAACCCTCTGCACCAATAAGCTCAAATAAATTCTTCTATAAACTACTTTGTTTGTGGTGCTTTATCACAAGAACGAAAAAGTAACTAATACAACCATATAGGTGGCTACTTCACATCTGTTTCTCTGCACGCTCGTGGGCATATGTTCCCATGCACACGCTGAGAAGGTAGAACAGCGTGTAAAGGTGCCTTCCTTTACCACTTTCCACCCCAGCATCTTGAGGCAGGCTTTCTCAATGCACAAGAAGCTAGCCAATCAGCTAGGCTAGCTGACCAGCAATCTCTTATGATCTGCCTGTCTCCACCCACCCCAATAATGGGGTTGCAGGCATGCTCAACATGTTTGCCTTTTTATGTGGGTGCTGAGGATTTGAACTCAGGTCCTCACTGAGCCATCTCCCCAGCCCTATCATGAGTTATTTGATTGTTGTTTTTATGCAAGTCTGTCAACACCTTGAAATAAAAGCGTCTCTATCCAAGCGTGTGCATCTCTGTGTCTTTGATATGTCAGCCAGCCTGGTATACAGTTGATGCTCAATATAGATCTAGCAAGTGTTTGAGGGTTTGGGTTTCTGGGGGAAAAAGGGAGGAGGAAGATAAGGAGAGGAGTCCAGACCTGGACTGGGCTTCATATAGAGGGCCATAGTTGGGTTGCCCTTATAATCAACACCAAGACTGAAAGCTCTAAAGCAGAAGGATGCTCAGGAAGTCAGGAGAGGAAGACACGCCATTGCTGGTGTGTTCACTGGCTCAGGAACAATACTGGAAACCCGGAAAGTCGCCTAAGTTCATCCACAGTGGGTGGGCCTGGACCATTGCCATGTCCCTTTATGGTTCTAACAAGGCTGCTACAGGCTCATAGTTGGCACCCAGAAGGGGAACGCAATGAGGCAGGATGAGAAATGAGCCACCCTTTTTATTTTTGTGAGACAGTATCTCTTGTGGTCCTTTGAGCCCGCTTAAGTAGCCACCTTGTGAGTGCTGGAGAGACAGGCACGTGGAACCGCATCTCCCTTCCAGTGTCTCCTTTAGAACATAAGACCCCCCAGGGAGGGTCTAGGCTGTGGCTCAGCAGCAGAGCCCTTGCCTACTTTGTGCAAGGTTTAATCGCCAATACTTTCCCCACCAAAGGAAGGAGGAACGGAAGCTTTTCAAAAGAGTTTTAGGTGGGAGGTGGATGGAGATTTTATTAGATAACGTTTGACACATACATTTTTGTTATGAAACATAATATATGCGGTGTAGTGTATGATTAAAGATCACTCTGACCGCTGGAGAGACGGCTCAATGGGAAAAGGTGCTTGCCCCCAGGTCCCACGTGTTGAAAGGAGACAACAAACTCCCCGAGACTGTCCTCTGAGCATCACATGCAAACCATAGCACACATGCACACAGACAAGGAATAAATATAATTTACAATTTTTCAAAATGAACAGAGAGTAGACCTCCATCCGTTTGTGCCCCACTGGTTCTGGGTGTGGGATCTTTTAAGAAAATTTTATGTCTGTTTGGGCTGGGAGTGAGTCCAGCCTCAAAGGCAGGGCTTGATCCAGCAGGAGTTCTAACAATCGGTCTCAATCATAGTGTGGGGTCTGGGCCACCCCCAAGAGAAGGTTAGAAAATGATTCTCTTAAGGCTCCAAACTGAACCCACCTCTGCCCTCCTCACCTGCTTGGATTCTGCTCCAGGGACCGACCCCTTGACATTCCAGAATGTGTGGGGGCGGCGGCAGTACAGAGGGCGGAGGGAGAGATCTGTGCTATCCACTGTTGGGGCTGCCTCAGGGATTTCAGATAACCCTAAACTCCAAGCAGAGGGAAGGCGCCCAGAGACAGCTCCACCTGTGCCCCAGGGAGCTGGAGGCGGTGCGGGGGCAGAGGAGGTATAAAAGGACCAGCCCTAGAGGAGGCTGAAGGCACTGGGCTCCGGGAGGACACCGGAGCTTAACCAAGTCACTCTCCCAGGTGAGAGGAACTCCCAACGGGGGGCATGCACAAACCGTCCTGGAGACGGGGCTCCAGGGTCCTAGACAGGAGGCTGTAAGGGGCAAAGAGGCTTGGGACCCACCCACAGGATGGAAAGAAGGAAGCTTAAGCTGCCCTGGGACAGGGTCAGAAAGAGGAGGGTTGGGGCCCTCCCTTAGATAGATCTAAGGGAGGCGGGCTGGGATTGGACTCCAGGGTCTGAGAGAGGAGGGCTGGGGCCTGAACCTCAAGGTTTGAGGGAGAGGGTCTCTGTCTAGATTTCTGAATCCCAGAGAGAGGAGACCTGAGGCCTGGACTCCAAAAGAGAAGGGGTAGGGCTGTATCTTAGGACATCTCTCATTATCCCTAGTTCTGGCGACATTTACCTTTCTCATCTGGCAGCCACTGAGCCACCATGGTGAGAGTCTGGCTCCCTGCCCTGCTAACTGTGTTGCTGTCCTTAGCCCTGGAAACTGCTGGACAAGGTGAGGGCTTGCCCAGTGTCCCCAACACTCTGAGTCTGAACCCTCTCTCCCAGACAGCTTCCTCTGGGAAGCCTGACGCTGTGGCTCAGTGAGCCTGCGCTGTCTTCTCTTCTCTTCTTGCCTCAATCAAACAGGCTCCCTGGGGCCCCTACAGGCTCCAGCAGTCTGTGGCTATCTGCCCCTAACCCACTCACTCATCCTCTGCATGATCCTCCATCCCTTCCTTTGCCTTTTTCCCTGAGTCTTAGAGAATCATCTCTGACTCTGTAAATCCCTGCTCACTGTCTCTTCTCCCTCTGATGCTGAATGCCCATGTGTGCCCGTGCCTCTGTCCAGGTCAGGGTGACAGAAACGGAGACAGGATTATAGATGGCTACCCATGCGAGAAGGGCTCCCATCCATGGCAGGTGGCCCTGCTCAGAGGCGACCAGCTTCACTGTGGAGGAGTGCTGGTCAGCGAACAATGGGTGCTCACAGCAGCCCACTGCAAAATGGGGTAGGTGCTGCCAGGGCAGGCGGGGTGAGTCTGTATTCTTTGGGTCTCTCTCTCCCTGCCCCCTTGGCTTCTGCCTCTCTGTCTCTCTCCCTCCCTCCCCCTCCTCCTCCTCTGCCTTTCTGAGTGTCACCTTTTTCTCTCAGTCAGTACACTGTGCATCTGGGCAGTGATAAGTTAGGGGACGAGAGTGCCCAGAAGATTAAGGCTACGAAGTCATTCCGACACCCTGGCTACTCCACAAGAACCCATGCCAATGACATCATGCTTGTGAGAATGGACAAGCCAGTCAAGATGTCGCCCAAAGTGCAGAAAGTCAACCTTCCTACGAAATGTGAGCCCCCAGGGACCTCCTGCACTGTCTCTGGATGGGGTACCACGACCAGCCCAGATGGTAAGTTGCCTCAGGGTGGGATCCAGCACGGACCTTATCCCTGAAGTCAAGAGTTCAGGCCCCTGCTCTCCTCCAGGAATCCAGGTCTCAGCCCTCTTCCCTCAGATCGCTGATCCTCACCCAGCCCCTCAGCTAGGCACCCTACCCAGGCCCTTACACAGCACTAGCTGAAGCCCTCCTCCCCACAGTGACCTTTCCCACGGATCTGATGTGCTCGGATGTGAAGCTCATCTCCTCCAAGGAGTGCAAGAAGGTGTACAAGGACCTGCTGGGGAAGACCATGCTCTGTGCCGGCATTCCCGACTCCAAGACCAACACATGCAATGTAAGCCCTCGCTGCCCCTCCCCCTCAAGCCCCTCTCTGTCCACGTCAGCATGAAACTCCTTGTCCCAGTCTGGCCTGGCCATGCCCCAGGCCCCACTTCTTTAGCTCTCTCACTTTCTGTCGGCCAACAGCTGCTGTTCATGCATGGGATGAACCAGGCTGAGGTCAGTAGTTTAGTGGAGCTGAGAGAGATGGAGGTAGAGATGTACCCAAACTTTGCAGAAGCTTCAAAATTTGGTGATTGATATTATTTCATGTCTTCATTTTTGAGACCGTCTTCCTCTGTGGTACAGGCTAGTCTGTAACTCGCTCTGCAACCCAGGTTAGCCCCAAATAACCAAGGCTAACCTAAAACTATATAGCCAAGGCTGGTCCCAAATTTACAGCAATACACCTGCCTCAGCCTCCCAGGCGCAGAGTTTACAAGGGTAAACAGTACACTGGACTGACCGTTCCTCTTTAGATTTTGTTTCTAAGTTTCATTTAAATTTTTATGTGCATGAATGTTTTGTCTGAGTGTAAGTATGCCTGGTACCCAAAAGGGACCAGAAAAGGAAGTCAGAGCCCCTGGAACTGAAGTTAGAGGTGGTTATGAGATACCATGTGGGTGCTGGGAATTAAGCCCGTGTCCTCTGCAAGAGCAGGCAATGCTATTAACCTCTGAGTCATCTCTCTAGTCCCCGGTTTTGTTTTTCAGACAAGGTCATGTAGCCCTGTCTGGTCTTGAACTCACTCTGTGTCTGATGCAGGATTTGAAGCCCTGGTCCTTCTGCCCCAGCTTCTGGAGTAGTGGTCCCAGTCTCCCCATGGCTTTTAACCTTTTAACTATTTTTTCTTGACGACCCCTGACATTATCTGCCTAATGCAGATGCCTGTCCATGGACTCGGTCCTGGGACAAGAACCGAGCTTTACAACTTGTCATGTCTTTGAACATTTTTCCACCTTTTTTTTTAATCCTAATTTTATGTTACTCCTTTCCCATTTTGCTGCCTGTCTGTCCTGGGCTGGCTTCTGTCTCCCTCTACTCTCCCTTCTGCTATTTCCAATCTCCCCAGTCTCTTCTCCTTTTCACCCTCCTTTTTCTCTTCTCCCCCTTCTCATTCTCTCATCTTCTTGTCTCCTTACCCCTCTTCTTTTTCTTCTTCCTTCCTCTCCTGCCCCTCTCCACCTCCTTTTTTTCTCTCCTCTTCTTTATCCTCCTTCCTCCGACCACCTCAACACTCAGGAAAGATGCTATGCTGTGTGTTGAAGAACTGACTAGTGGGAGACACATTCCTGTCCCTGAGAACCAGGGCATCCCTTCCCCAGGTTAGGGTCAGCTTCCTGACAGCCCAAGGGTTTGCCACCCAATACCTGGAGAAGACTCCCCTTCTCACCAGCCTTAATCAATAGATTTTATCAGTAAGAAAAGTGTGCTTGAATCTGAGGAAGTCCCACCGGTTCCTGCCAAGAAGCTCTAATGGAACCCAGGTCATCACCATGACAGTGTAGATTTCTACTCTTCCATTGGTTCCCAATATCATCCTCATTAGCCAGGGTAGAAGTCAAATCAGCTTATCAGGACAAAGTCTGAACTAGAGGATGCCTGACGGTGACCTGAGGGTCACAGAGCTTTCTTCTGAAGCCAAAAACTAACCTCCTCTGTTCCTCATAGGGTGACTCAGGGGGACCCTTGGTCTGCAATGACACTCTTCAAGGTCTAGTGTCCTGGGGAACATACCCTTGCGGCCAGCCCAATGACCCAGGTGTCTACACTGAAGTCTGCAAGTACAGCCGGTGGTTGGAACAGACCATGAGAACCTATCGCTAAGCACTAGGAGTCAAGCTGCGAGCCTCCGAGGTTCGAGGAGTAAGGACAACCGTGGCAGCACTGTGAAGCCCTGCCTTTGCCTTTTCTCCAAGACGTAGCCAAGCCTGAACCCTGTGCAAAGTTTACAAACCAATCAGAATCCCAGAGATCCAAAAGCAAATCAAGTCAAGAGACAAGAACCCGAGGGCTGGGGAATCCCTACACTGGACTGTGGCTGGTAGCTCTAAGACCTTCATCCACCGCCCGTGGCTCGGGCCACCTGTTTCCAGAGAGTTCTTTAAAAAAAAAAAATCAAGTTTGGATTCAGTGCACCATTTATTTTAGGGAAAAAGAAGAATGACGCTGTTAACATGTTCTAAAGTAGTAGATTACTTAAACGGTAGCTCGATTTCTCTCCGAAGACGACGAAGTTGTGAAAAAGAAAGCCCCAGCTGTGAGTGGCTAGCCTTGTGCAGGAGTGACTGTCGTCCCATGATGAGCAGCAGCTGACCTGAGCTGGACATGCCAAACCAAACAGATACAAATAAAACCCAAGCAATACTGATGTGTGTGCTTGTTGCCTGAAAGATAATGGTGGGGAAGCTGGGAGCATGGAGGGTGGAGGAGGAGACCCATGAGGAAGAGTTTGCTAAGAAATTGTAGATGGCCCAATGGGTAACAGTGGGTAAAGGCACTTGCTGCCATGCCGGACAGGACTTGAGGTCCATCTCTAGGGCCCACAGTGGAGGGAGATAACCGACCCCTACATGTTATCCTCTGCCCCCACATGTGCTGTGGCACATGGGCGCCTGCACTCGAAACCAAATTAAAACGTAAATAAATTATTCTGAATATTTTTAATCTTTAAGGACATTGTAGCTGGTTTTCAGCCTGGCCCTGGTGGGTGGTATGTTTTTCTCTATTTCTTGGGTTTCTGTTTTTCTCACACGTAACAAGGGAACAAGAGAGGAAAGAAGGGAGGAAGAAAGAATGGACCATAAGTACTTAAGCCATCACTTAGGTGACAGAGGAAGTTTTCAATGAGGGGTGGAGGAGACAGAAACTGGACACTTAGATCCTCTGGGGGTCAGCCAAGAGTGAGCATCCAGAAACCCAGGTCAGAGAAAGATGGTGGGAGTAGGCTTCTCCCAAAAGGTCAGGGGGGCTCTGGAAGGGAGGGGTGCTTTGTGACTCAGAGCAGAGCCACACCTAGGCAATCTGCCTTCCTTCTCTGGGCAGTGACACCTCAGAATCTGCTGACAAAGAGATGCAGTCCAGTGGAGGGCCTGCCCCTCCCACCTGTCCTTCCTGTTTTCCTCCCAGAATTCCTTTCCCACAAACATCATTTGGGTCCTTCCCATCACTCTTCAGTGTCTCCACTGACCGCTGTCAGCCAGTCACTCAGAAATGCTGCAGCTACTAAAAGCTGCCCATGGTGACACACAGAACAGACCCCAGCCTCCTCCCGCAGAGCCAGGGGTCTAGGCCACAGCCTTTCTCCCTCAGACCCAGAATCTTAGGCTCCTCTCCTTCCACAGACCCTGGAATCCAGACCCAGCCCTCCTTTCTCAGGCTCCAAGGGTCCAAACTTTTCCCCTCCTCCCTCAGACCTGGGAGTCCCAGCCCTGGCCTTCCTCCATCAGGCTTAAGTCCAGACCTGTTGTTTTCTGGAACTGTGTCTCATTTAAAAATTCCAAGGGAACCTGTCCCTCTATTTCCATGGAGTTTCATCAGCTTTTTCTATCTCTTCAAATCACCCAAATCAGCATTCAGTCTAAAAATTTTAAGGGTCTGGTGTTGTGGTGTACATCTTTAATCACAGTACTTGGGAGGCTGAAGCACGAAGATTTCTATGAGTTTGAGGTCAGCCTGGTCTATACAGCCAGTTCCAGGCTAGTCAAGGCTATACAGTGAGACCCTGTCTCAAAAAAGAATGAGAAGAGGGCTTTGAGGATGGCTCAGTGGGTAAATCTCTGGTTATTCAAGCACAAGATCTGAGCCTGGGTCACCAGTACACACATAAATGCAGCACATGGCTATGCATGTGCTTGTAATCTTGTTGCTGAAGATACGTGGAAAAAATCTGGGGGTGCAGGGCAGGGGATTTCTTGCCAGCCAGTCTATTTATCTCTAGACATCCAGAGATGCTGTCTCGAAAAATAAGGTGAAGACATCCAGTGTCAACATTCACACACACACACACACACACACACACTCACTCACTACTCAGAAATAAAATATAACTTTAAAAAAAGGTAATCCAGAGTCACTTGACTCAGTTGAGCCTGGCTTTAGCAAGAGTTTGATTGGGTTACAAAGTTCATACTCTGGTTGTTCAGAAGGGGCTTTATTTTTCATTTGGCCAGACACTAGACTTACAGTTAAAACCAATTGTTTGTGGAACGTGGCTTCTTGCCATTAAAATCCTGCTTGTGGCACCTACAATCTATTTGCCGTGTGTATGTGTGTCTATCTCTTCTCTTCCTTCCCCTTCCTACTTCCTCTCCTTTCTTTAGGTATCTAAACGGGAATCAACAGCCTCGGAAGCCAGCAAGGATGGACCTCTCTCTCGTGGTTGCCTTTGAACTCCATCTTCTGTTTTGCTGGTAACATTACAAAGGGGAATGTATAATCTTTGAGCCCATGTGCGGAGTACCAAGATGTGCCCCGACTGTTGCATTAGCGACATGAGGTTTCATAAGGGTAACCAGCCACTTTCTGATTGGATTTGAGGCCTGCCTCGTAGGAGGGAATTCATGCCTGGTATTGTAAACTGCCCTTGGCTTGGGAGCTCATAGGCCCTGTGGTAGTGGGGGGGAACATGGTCATTTAGCTTAAATGACCATGTTGTCATACTGCCTTCTGAATATTCATGTTTATACCCATAGATTAATGCTGCTTTCAACCTCGACCAGAGAAGCCTCCTTATGAAATGAGCAGAAATACAGAGACTCAAACCTGGTAACAGTGCTTAAAGTAGGCGACTGCTGAGGGTTCGGCCCTAAATGGGACAGATACATCAATAACTAACTACAAGGCTCAGGGACTGCTGAAGAAGAATGTGTCACAACGGTAGAGTGCTGTGAAATGCTGTCTTCTGGACAGGACTGTCTGTTGCTGTTGTGCTCACGAACTCACAGAAAGTATGGTTACCTGCCTAAAAGGAGAGGAAAGAAGAGAGTGGAAAAGAGACAAAAAAAGAGGGGGTGGGAGGGATCAAGACAAGATCCATCAATATTTCAACAGGCAGAACTAATCGAACTCAATACCCCACAAAAATAAAAAGGAGGAAAAAGAGAAAGGAGAGGACATGAAAGTGGGAAGGAGATCAGAGTGGGAGGCAGAATAAGAGGATGTAATCAACATGCCTTGTATGGGTGTATAAATTATCAGAGAGTAATACAAGGTGCTCTTTAAAACAATACAGGCATGATCTAGGTCATGTCAGCTTTGTAGACATAAAATATCTAGTGTTCATGAACAAGAAGAAAAAAGAAAGGAAGTGATAGAGATAGAGAGAGAGAGAGCAAGAGAGAGAGAAGCAGAGATGTCAGGTATTTGTTGAAGACCACTAAGAAGGAATGACTTCCTACTGGTCAAAAGAATGGAATCTCCCTCTGGTCTGGGTGGAGACATGACACTGATCTGCTTCAAAGATTAGAGCATGACAAACTACTGTAGGCTACTATCTCCTCAAGAGTTAATCCAGATGGACCTGTCAATCACCTGGTCAGGAGTCCACCTCACAGGAAAGCTGAATCACCCGAAGGCATGCTAAGGTGAAGGGAGGAATAATTATCCCTTTGATGAGACCATGAATTCATCCTTCCCAGAAACCCCTCCTCCATGCAGGAGCTCATGCTGCCTACATGCCTTTCTGAGTTACTTTTCTTTATGTTTCTTTCAGATCCTGGCCAAAACCCAGGTTTCTCTGACATTCTGGGGTGTCTCACTCTGAAGGCCCCTTCCTCTTCCCCTTTGCTGCTGCTTGCCAACCTCCATTGCTGAACATTCGAGCAAAAATCACAGCTTTCTCTCCATCTCCCTCCAACAGGCAACTTGCCTTCTCTGGTTTTTTGTTTGTTTGTTTGTTTGTTTTTGTTTTTTAATACAATATTTTCTTTTGGTTTGGTTTTTCGAGACAGAGTTTCTCTGTGTAGGCTTGGCTGTCCTGAACTTGCTCTGTAGAACAGGCTGGCCTCGAACTCACAGAGATCTACCTGTCTCTGCCTCCCTGACTACTGGGATTACAGGCATGTGCTATAGTGCCTAACTAAGACAATATTTTTATTAAATTTTAAATAATTTCATATGTGCCCTGTTCCCCCTCCAATTTTTAATAAAATTATTCCTCCAAGTCAGTTTTTTAATTTTTTATTGACAGAACTAAGAATGCCATAAAGAAACCCCAATTTTTCTAGCAAAACCCACCCCTGTGTGTGCTGTTTCTCCTCTTCTATCCCTGCCTTCTCCCCTTCTTCCCTTGGCCTCCTGTTTCTTCTCTTCTCCTCTCCAATGCACCTCCTCTCTCCTTCCTTTCCCACCTCTCTTCTCTCTTCTCCCATCCTTTCCTCCTCCCTCTTCTCTTCCTCTCTGTCTTTTTTCTCCTTCCTCTCCTATTATCTCTCTCACTCTCCTCTTCCTCCGTATTCCTTTCTCTGGTTCTCTCCTTTCCCTTTTCTCTTTCTTTTCCATCCTCCCTTTCCCTCCTTCCACAGTAAGTAGAAGTCTGCTGTCTGCCCTTGCTGTCTTGCTATCTTCCCCATCTGTGTTCCCACCTCTTGGTATCCTCGTAAAGATTAAACAATTTCATATTTAAACAGTGCCGGAACAGCATCAGACAGCACCAAGCACTGGCAAGAGCTCTCTCTCTCAGTGTGTACAACTTTTCACAATTTTTTTCTGTTTACTCTCATAAAAAAATTTTTCCTTTATGTTTTTTTATTGAATATTTTGGCCAATTAAGTCAATCTAGATAAAAACATTCAAACACTTAAGCATGCATGGCCTGATCAAATATA